TTCAAAAGGAACCAATGGAACTCCAAGCATTTGAAAATTATTGAAATTTCAAAGTGCCTTAAAGAGGAGATTAGGGCTACAAGAGTGAAACAGAAAACTGAAGCTGCCCAGGATGCAGCAAGCTAAAAAGATGAAAACATAAAAGAGGGGCCGGTGATGTAGCATAGTGGGGAAAGCCACCACCCGAGATTCCCAGCATCCCATATGGGCACTGGTTTGTATGCCAGCTGCTCCAGTTCTGATCTAGCTCCCTGCTAATGACCTGAGAAAAGCAGTAGAAGAGGACTCAGGTGTTTGGGCCCTTGCCACCCACATGGAAGACCAGGAAGAAGCTCCTGGCTCCTGACTTCAGCCTGGCACAGCCCTGGCCATTGCAGCCATCTGGAGAGTGAACCAGCAAAAGAATCTCTCTCTCTCTCTCTCTCTCTCTCTCTTTCTCTGCCTCTCCTTCACTGTAACTCTTTCAAATAAATAAATAAATCATTAAAAACAAAATTTAAAAAAAAACATAAAAGAGAACTGACAGCAGATAAAGACAGCATAAGAGTCCAGTGACATACAGTAATCTGTAAAAGTGGGAGAGCAAAAAAAAAAAAAATCAACATTTAATCAGATAATGACTCAGAATTTTCTAGAATAAAAGTACAAATGAAAGTTCATAAATGACAACAATTCCAAAGTAAAGGGAAAAAAATAAATTAAATCTAGGATCATCATAGAGAATGAACACCACTCATGAAAAAGAAAGAATAAACACTCAGAAAGGGCACATTCCACTCTCAAGAGAATGTTACTGGATAGCAGATTTCTTAAAAGCAGCATAAAAGCCAGGAGACAGTGACATAATCAATTTTCAATGAAAAATTTATGTATATATAGATATAAAAGTTTTATACCCAGATAAACTGTCTTCAACAGTAAAGGAGAAATAACCCTGAAAGGATATAGCTCCTGGCTCTATGGCAGCCATCTTGTCTAGGAAGTAGATCCTGGTAACAGTATTAAGCTTTTGTACAACAGTAACCTTACTGCTGGGCTTCAGTTTGGACATTTTAGTCTTTAGAAGTCACACATCTCCACCAATATTGTGGGTTTTTGTTGTTTTTTTTTTTTTAAAAGAACAAAATAATCTGATAGGGCTGGCACTGTGGCATAGTGGGTAAAGCCGCCACCTGCAGTGCCAGCATCCCATATGGGCTCCAGTTCAAGTCCCGGCTGCTCCACTTCTGATCCAGCTCTCTGCTATGGCCTGGGATAGCAGTAGAAGATGGCCCAAATCCTTGGGCCCCTGTACCTGCATGGGAGACCTAGAGGAAGCTCCTGGCTCCTGGCTTCAGATCAGCCCAGCTCCGGCCGTTGTGGCCAACTGGGGAGTGAACCAGGGGATGAAAGACCTCTCTCTCTCTCTCCTTCTTTCTGTGTAACTCTGACTTACAAATAAATAAATAAATCTTTAAAAAAAGAAAAAGAAAGAATAAAATAGTCTGCAATTTAAACTATCAGCATTATCTTTAGCATACATAACCCCTCACAAAAGATAATCACATTGTAATTTACTTAGGAAAGGATTTATCTAAAAGGAATCTTGGGAGCAGAGCTTGAAAATTAAGAGCTCACTGGGGCCGGGGCTGTGGCGTAGTAAGTTAATCCTCTGCCTGCAATGCCAGCATCCCATGTTGGCACTGGTTCAAGTCCTGGCTGCTACACTTCCATCCAGCTCCCTGCTAATGGCCTTGGAAAGCAGTGGAAGATGGCCCAAATGCTTGGGCCCCTGTACCCATGTGGGAGATCCGGAAGAAGCTAGTGGCTCCTGGCTTCGGATCAGCTCAGGTCCAACCATTGCAGCCATTGGGGGAGTGAACCAGCAGATGGAAGACCCATCTCTCTATCTCTCCCTCTCTTTCAAACTCTACTTCTCAATTAAATAAATAAATTTTTATAAAACAAAAAGAAAATTAAGAGCATAGAGTTCAACAAAGTGAGTCCAAAGGAGGCCACAGAAATAGTGTTACATGGCTCTAAGAGAAATCGGTGGCATTTTCACATCAAAGGGCAGCATCTGAGTCAGACCATGCTATGGTTTGACGTGGCTTGTCCCCCCGTGGCCCATGATCCTACTGGGTGGTCCACAGGCCACTGCAGGTGCTGCCTTCAGAAGGGAGTGCTGCCTTCCTGGAGCCAGTCCTCTCTCAAGAGCAAGTTGTTACAATAAGCCTGCTCCAGCCCAGAGCCTCTCCCCGTCTTCAGTTTCAAGATGTGATTGCTTCCTCCTGTGCATGCTTCCACCACCTCCACAGGGTCCTCCCAGGGTTTTCTTTATAGAGTTAGGCTGCCTCAGGGATTTCATTATAGCAACAACAACAACAACAACAATCTAACTAATACAGACCACCCTTGCACAACTTACTGATGACGGCTTACAAGGATGGCAGTACTTTCCAACAACTTAAGAAGTTCAACGGCTAAGATGAGTTTCTGGCCGGTGCCGTGGCTCACTAGGCTAATCCTCCGCCTTGCGGCGCCAGCACACCAGGTTCTGGTCCCAGTCGGTGTGCGGGATTCTGTCCCAGTTGCCCCTCTTCCAGGCCAGCTCTCTGCTGTGGCCCGGGAGTGCAGTGGAGGATGGCCCAGGTCCTTGGGCCCTGCACCCACATGGGAGACCAGGAAAAGCACCTGGCTCCTGGCTTTGGATCAGCACGATGTGCTGGCCGCAGCGCGCCAGCCGCAGCGGCCATTGGAGGGTGAACCAACGGCAAAAGGAAGACCTTTCTCTCTGTATCACTCTCTCTCACTGTCCACTCTGCCTGCCAAAAAAAAAAAAAAAAAAATTTTAAAAAAAAAGATAAGTCTCCTTTAACTGCCTTTAGCAGTTAATGAAATGGAACAAGGACAAGCATGGTGTAGAGGGGTCAAGCCATCACTTGTGATGCCAGCATCCCACATCAGAGTTCTGGTTGGAGACCTGGTTACTCTGCTTCCTATGCAGTGCCTTGCTAATGTCCCTAAGAAAGCAGTGGAAGATGGCCCAAGTGCTTGGGCCCCTGCCACTCACATGGGAGACCTGGAAGGAGTTCCCGGCTCCTGACTTAAGCATCCTCCAAACATAACTGTTGCAGCCATTTAGGGAATGAACTAGCAGATGGAAGATGCCTGTGTGTGTATGTGTGAGACTCTGCCTTTCAAACCAACAAATAAATCTGTTTTTTTAATAATTGAACAAAAGGCCTCTTTTGCCTTTTCAGACAGGACCAAAAGAATCATTTTATGAACAATCTCTTTAAAGTACGCTAAAAGAATACTTGACAACAAAAAATCACAAATGATATTCTTCCAAAATGTCATACATGGAAACACATATAATTTTATATGTAATATAGTATCCACTGGAATTTTTTATTACCCAAACTACAGTCATCCCCAAAAACCTTTTCAAATGATACAAAATTTATTCCTATTCCTAGAAATTATAAATCCCAGAGCACATGTTTGGCTCAATGGCTAAGATACCACTTAGGACACCCACATTCCATATCAAGTCCCAGCTTACCCCTGATTCCAGCATCCTGTTAATGTGCATCCTGGCAGGCAGCCAGAGATGGCTCAAGTCTTTGGGTCCCTGCCACATACGTGGGAAAACCAGGAGGAATTGCAAGTCCCTGCCTTCAGCCCGGCCCAGCCTGGCCTGTTGCGGACATTTGGGGAGTGAACCAGCAGAAGGGACATCTCCACCTCTCTATCTCTCAGCCTTTCAAATAAACAATGAACAAAGAAGTTTTTAAAAAAGAAAAAAGGAAATTCTGAATCCTGGCTCCTTTATTCTCTCGCCCCTCCCTGGTGGCTGATCCAATTGGTGGTCTTCTCCACCACCACCACCACCACCACAGAGTTCCCTGGGGAAAGCAGCAGCCGCGGGGGGCACAAGAGCTATGAGGCAGTTTGTGATCACTGATGGCTCCGTGACCAGAGTCGTCACTGCCTCGGCACCATTTGGAAGATGCGTGCAAAGGTGAATCAAAACACGCCGTTTAATCTAGGGACGTCTTAGACAGTTTCAAATTTAAAATGAAATTAATTCATGTTACAGGAAGAACAGATGAGACTAGCGAAAATCTCCTGACTATGACAACTCCAATACATGAGGATAAATAAAGGTAAGGCATAGGCTATCTTTAATAGGCTAAGCAGATTTTGTTTCTTTTATTTCCTGGGTATGAAGGCTTTACTCCTATTGATCTACAATCCTTGAAGGAAACTACTATTGAGATGTTAAAAGTCATCTTAAAATATCATTTTTAAGCATCTAGCATTCTAACAGTCAACAGAATTTCCAATCCTAAACACAGCGTTACAAGATAAGAACCAGTATATTTTCCTAGGCGACAAAAATGGAAATCATCACTAGTAATTAGAACACTTGCGATTTAGACTCAGGTCTGTCAAACTTAACAGCCTCTTTCTGTTAAACCATCCCATATCTGTGCAATTATTGTGATGAAGTCTCAAGTTGACACTGCAACTTACATGTCATACACATTACCATGTTTATAGAGTTTCATATGGTACTGGAAAGAAAACGAAAATCAAAATAACATGTTCTACAGAGCACAGTAGGTCTTTTGCGACCCTGGGTTTATCTTGGAGAAACACAGAAATCACTTGGTCATCTCAAAATGACTCACTTTGAGGAATGTGAAGATCTTATAGGGCTGCTGGGAAATACACTACTTCTGAAACACTCAAAATACAAAGACTGAGCAGAAGGAGCTGGACTTCAGTTCACTGCACTCCCTACACTCTGGGACATGCCTGGCCTTTTTTATGTAAATGCAGACTTAATTTTCACTAAGGTTCCAGGTGTGTCTCTGGTCCAGTGACATCTGCATTGCCTTCTCCTCCAAACAGCGCATCCTAAATGATGACAGCATTTCAATCTGGAATATGATCAAAAATGAGGAGAGCATTTCAATTTAGATTTGCGCTCGAGAGGGAACCACACTTACCCCGTGTTCCTCTGCAGCCAGCGCAACTTGCAGGAGGATGTCTTCCTCCACGAACGGCCTGACAGCATCGTGGATGATCACAACTTGCGGCTTGGAGAGCTTGCAGCCAGGCTCATCCTCTGCCAGGGCTTTGAGGCCATTGAAAATGGACCTGTGGCGCGTCACCCCAGCCTCTGCCAGTGACACACGGGTGTGCTGATACTTCTGCACGATGCGCTCCATGACACCCATGTTCTCAGCGGTCACGGCCACGACGATGTCCTTTATCCAGCAGACTCTGGAAAGAGAAGTTTGCACATGGTTCACCCGACTCTTGGACAGCTGGAGCTCGTGACAAAGCTGAATTTCAGCACGAGCATTGTTACATTTACATAGGGAGATTAGATGCTGAAAGCGAATCACTTGTGTGCACTTTCAGTAGGTCAAGTACAGAGGTTGATGAAGAAGAGACAGTGAGCATGTCACACAGCAGCCAGAGATGGTGTTCCTCGTTATACATGGAGCATCTCATATGACCTAGCACATGCATGGACTGCATGACATGGTGACAAAGGTGTGCAATTTCCCACTGAAGCTAAGCCTCAGCAGACTGGCTGGGAATAGTCTATAAGAGGAATGTGCTTTAGAATTTGTATTCTTCTTTCAACAGAATAAGAACGAGTCAAGCACTTCTGAATCCCAAAAGGTGGCTGTCTCCTTATTGAAGTCCACTGAGCTGCCAGCCAATCACATGAATACCATCAAAACTGGACAACTGACCATGCACCAGCCTCGCCTACATCGACATGAAGCACACAGCCTATGTGGGAAAGCCATCAGAATTGTGTGTACAAATAAGACTGAAGAAGAATGCAAAAACTCATGTAAGTTAATGAAACAGTGTACACCTACTCTCATGTGCACTGTATACTGAATGTACATACTGCTGTATACAAAACAGAACATACACACTGTTGTGTACAGAACACACAGGAATTTTTGTTGTTGTTGTTGTTGTTGTGAAACAGTCCATGGCAGAAGGATACACTGACACACAGTGCTGCAGCCAGTGCATACCACCAGGGGACTTCTGGATCACGGTGACCTCCCTCCAATGCCAGGGCAAACAGGGACCAGCATCACTGCAGGTGCAAGAATCGGTCAGCAAGGGGCCTGCACCAGGACAACCACCTCACCCCGAGGTAGCAGCATTAAAAGGACATCCCTGGAAACCTGTAATGGGAGGGTGGGTGTTTAGTGCAGCTATGCCACCCTCACTTGGGACACCTGCATCTCCTCTGGGAGTGCCTGAGCTCAAATCCCAGCTCCACTGGTGAACCCTGCTTCCTTCTTATGTACTGGAAGGCACCAGGTGATGGCTCAAGTACTTGGGTTCCAAGCTCTGGGCTTTGGCCTGGCCCAATCAAAAATAGGAGATCGCTCATTCTCTCTCTCTCTCTCTCTCTCTCCCTCTCTCTCTCTCCCTTCCTCCCTCCCTCTCTCTCCCTTTCAAAATAAATATATAAGTTCTAAAATAATGGGATCTTGGCTGGGAGATCCCACATGTGCATGCTAGAAGGGCAGAATATCTTGAAAACAGGACAGGCGTTATGATGTCCACATCCCACAGCCTGGGTTCGACGTCCGCCTCTGGCTCAGGAAGCCAGCTTCCTGCTAACATGCACCCTGGGAGCCAGCAGGTGACGGCTCAGCTGCGTGCGTCCCTGCCACTCACGTGGGAAATGCAGTCTGAGTTCCCAGCTCTCGGTTTTGGCCTGGCCCAGTCTTAGCTGTTGCAGGCATCTGTGGAATAAGCCAGTGGATGGGAGTTTTCTGTCTCTGTCTCTCTTTCTCTCTGCCTCTCAAATAAAATTTCTTCTTTAAAAAGCCTGGGAACATCTCTTAACATGATAGAAGAAGGTCCTGGAAGTAGCTGAATAATGAACCTATTCCATATTTTCTCTGATGAAAAGTGAAGATGGACGCTGGGTTGTTTCGCTTGATTATCAGCAGTCTCCAGCATTCTGTTACTGAGTAACCCCTCCCCTGACTCAAAACCCCACTCTGCCAGTGGCTTTGCTGCTGCACTGGTGAACAGAACCAAGAAATACTCCACAGGGGCACTGCTTTTCTGTTGTAAATCCATTTCCTTAATATTTACTGGGCACCAAATCCATGATCAGCATTGAAGATGAAATAAAATAGGCAGTTGCTGTCTTCATAGAGCTCACAGTGGGACTTTTTTTATTTATTATTTTATTTGAAAGAGTTACACAGAGAGAGAAGAAGAGAGAGAGAGAGGTCTTCCATCCGCTGGTTCACTCCCCAATTGGCCAATCTGAAACCAGGGGCCAGGAGCTTCTTCTGGGTCTCCCACATGGGTGCAGGGGCCCAAGGACTTGGGCCATCTTCTACTGCTTTCCCAGGCGCATTAGCAGAGAGCTGGATCAGAAGTGGAGCAGCCTGGACTCGAACCAGTGCCCATATGGGATGCCAGCACTGTAGGTGGAGGATTAATCTACTGTGTCACAGCACCGGCCCCCACAGTGGGACTTTAATACATGCACCAATCAAAAGCTACAAGCTACTATCAGTTGTTCATAGACAGACTAAAATACACATACCAACCAACGGCTACAAACCATGATCAGGGTGCTAGTTCAAGCACTTAAACACATGCACCGACCAACAGCTGCAAACCACAGTCAGGTGCAGTGAAGGAGAAGTCCAGTGTTCAAGACAGCATGGTAGAGTGCCCGACCTCACTAGAGCATTGCCTTAGCGAAGAGAAGGCTGCACTGAGAACCCCACGGTGGACCAGCCAAAGGGCTGGAGAGGTAGGGAGAGGGGAATGTTCCAAGCAGAGGTCATGACAAAGTCCTCGGGGCTGGGAGGAAGTGGGGAGCTCGAGTCCCCTGGGCAAGAGGAAGAAGAGCACTGAAGAGGCTAAAGGCTCAGACAAGCACACGGCCAAACCAGGAGGCCTCCCACGTCATTTATAAGGGTCTAAACCTTTAATCCTAAAAAAAAATGCAAAAAAAGCATTCATCAACAACCTTTAATTAAGCAGGTGAGTGCATTTACACTCTTACACTTTTTTTTTTAAGCTTCTAGGTACTGTGCTGTGGGAGGCTTGGTGGGCAGCATAGCAGACCCTGAAAGCTGCCCAGGTCCTCCTTCCTGAAACTGGTGGATATGCTACCTTGCAGGCTAGAGATTAAGGATTTTACAACAGGGAGATGATCCTGGATCAGCTGGATGGGCCCAAGGTCATCGCAGGGGTTCCTTGAAGTGAGAGGAGGAGGCGGAGCCCAAGGAGCAGAGCACGTACCCACCGGCAGAACGTGAGGCCCAAAACCCAGGAAGGCAAATGGCCTCTGGAATTTGGAAAAAGCCAAGGAGGTGGCCCTGAGGCCTCCAAAAGGAACACAGCCCTGCCAACACCTTCGCTGTTGTCCTGTGAAAGCAGATTCAACGTTTTGACCTCCAATACTGCACAACCAGAAATTAATAAAAGAGAGGATAAATTTCAGTCTGGCTGTAAGACAGGGGACAGATTGGATGAAATGAGAAAGGAAGGGAAGAGACCAGGCAGGAGGTTACGTGGTCCAGGCAATGCAGTGACAGTACCCTGGCTACCAGATGGAGCTTGCACACAGAGATTGAAGAGATAGTGCAGAGGTAAACTATACTGGTCAGCAGGAATAGGGGCAAGGTGCATCAGGTGTCACATAACGTAAAATAACAAGCTGGGGACAGAGGTACGAAGCAGCAGGTTGAGCCAATGCTTGCGACCCCAGCATCACAGATCAGAGCACCAGGGAAAGTCCCAGCTGCTCCACTTCTGATACAGTTTCCTACAAATAAAAGCCCATGCAGACAAAAGAAGATGAGCCGAGTACTTGGGCCCTTGTCACCCATGTGGGAGACCTGGCTGGAGTTCCTGACTCCTGGCTTCTGCCCAGCCCAGCCCTGGCTGTTGCACCTATTTGAGGAATGAACCAATGAATGATCTCTCTCTCCCTCTCTCTCCCTCTCTCTCTCTCCCCCTCCCCACCCTTCCTCTCCCTCTCTGTCACTCTACCATCCAAATAAACCTCAAAAAAAAAATAATAATAATAATAATAACAGCTAAGGGCCAGCATGTGGCATAGCAGGTTCAGCAACGCTGGCAACCCATATGAGCTCCAGCTCAAGTTCAAGCTGCTCCACTTCTGATCCAGCTCCCTGCTAATGTACCTGGGAAAGCAGTAGAAGATGGCCCAAGTGCTTGAGCCCCTGCTACCCAGGCTTCAGCCTGGCCAGCTCCAGCCACTGCAGCCATTTGGGAAGTCAATCAGCACATGAAAGATTTCTCTCCCTCTCCACTCCCTCTGCGACTCTTTCTCATAAAATGAATAAATCAAATTAAGCACTTACTACATTTTAAGTATGTTTCAACTCACGTGATCTTCACAGAAACACCACTACACTGTCCTGCATACAACACAGGAAACAAATCACAAGGAGATCTGAACACATGAGTACATTTTATTTTTCTATACTATCTTCTTACTCCGAAAAGGACTTGGAGCAAAACATTTACCACTTTTCCTTAATATAACTCTCCACCTTCTAGAACGCGAATGCTACACAGTAGACAGCATCTGCTTTGCCCTCGCCTTACAACACCTAATTCCTAGGCCATGTTCAATAAATATTTGTTGAATGAATAAACCCTGGATCTGTCTCAGCTACCAGGAGCAGTGAAACATCTTACAACACACTGTAGTCTCCAGGATTATGAGAACTAAGAAAGCTGTCCTCATTACCCTGGGTAGCTACCAAAAAGAAAAAAAAAATCAATCATGAAAACAGCTTTTCCTATGCAGTGTGATTTTGTTGATCATCTAATTTTTTCCTAAGTATTTGACTCCACTCTGATTTCCAGGTTCTAAGGATCTCAGAGAGTCAGAATTACTTCTGTTTGTTTGTGCAAGGTGTCCAGCACATAACAGATCTTCCCAGGCAGATGAATCGATTAAATCACAGGCTTTTATTGGGGTTCCGCTCCCGGGTGAGGTTCACCGGTCCCGGGTTTCAGCACCATCTGCAAGGTGTCCGGCGTGTAACAAATCTTCCCAGGCAGACGAATCGATTAATTCACAGGCTTTTATTGGGATTCCGCTCCCGGGCGAGGTTCCCCGGTCCCAACAGAGCAACAGAGTGGGGACCGGGGAAGTCGCGCGTCAGAGATTGAGAGAGCTCCTTTTATAGATTCAGGGCATGGGAGTTAAAGGTTGAGGCGGGTCTGATCCT